AAGGATCACTCATTGGAGTTTATTTACTAAAGCTGGTGAGTGCAAAATCAGGCTGACTTCTGCATGGAAACCAATCAGCTTCCAGCTTTTATTGCCAAAGCTTACTTGAACAAGCTAAAGTTAGAAGCTAATTGGCTACCCTGCACAGCTGCACCAGATTCTGAGTGCTCCAGCTTAAGTAAATCTACCCCATTGCCATGCAAATAAAGCCTTGTATATTTTTTTTTACTGCAAGGCATTTTGTTCTGAAGGGGCAGTCACATCATGATTTCCACATTGTGGAGGACATATGTCTCTTCTTCAATAAAACAAACTTACCTGCCAGTTTGCAGATTTATTTCAAATGTAAATGAGCTGGGCATGTGCAGCTCAGTTTAAATTCTTGGCAAGGAGGTATGTAATTTCCCAGAAGAGGTTGGCGCTGGCAGAGGATCAAGGCAGGGTGAATATCTGCTTTATATCTCAAAGTGATTCTAAAGGTTAATTTTTTTTTTTTTTTTAAATAATAAAGATGTCTATACTTACCTGCTGTGTGCAGTGGTTTTGCACAGAGTAGCCCGGATCCTCCTATTCTCGGGTCCCCCACAGGCTCTCCTAGTCCCTCCCCCTGTCGGGTGCCCCCATAGCAAGCAGCTTGCTATGGGGGTACCCACTGCTCTGTGTGCCCAATCAGACATGGAGCTGTGGCTCGGCCCTGCCCCCTCTCTCTCCTCACTGGCTTACTGGCTGTGATTGACAGCAGTGGGAGCCAATGGGCGTGACAGCCGAGGCTATCATTCACATCACTGGATCGCAATGAGGCTCAGGTAAGTATTGAGGGGGCTGGTGGCACTGCTGCACACAGAAGGTTTTTTTTACCTTCATGCATAGAATACATGAACTTACAAAACCCTTCAGCCTTTACAACCACTTTAACTACACCTTTTCACATCCCCCTACCCAATTTTATAATCTTTATTCATAAAATCACAGTATGCATATCTTAAATCCAGCAGTCTTCTGGCCAGTCAAGTTGCATCATGGGTCATTTTCCTCTGGCATTGGCAGTAGCCATTCCTTCCTGCACAGATCAGTGCTCACACAAAACTGCATAACACCCTGGTCACATCAAAGACGATTTTGAAATTGTGCGACTTACATTGAAGTCGCACGATTTCAAAATCGAGTGACCTGCCGATTTTGTTGCGATTTGCAGGACATCAGACACAGATGTCTATACAAATTGCAACAAAAGTAGTGCATGCAGTACTTTAGAAATCAGTGCGGCTCTGACCAAATCGGAACCGCACCAATATAGTGAAAAAATAGGGTGCGGCTTGGCATATGATTTGTATTTGCAAGTTGCAGAGCATGCAAATCGCATGTGTATTTCAAAAACTGCTGATCTACTGGGATTTTCACACACAACCATATCTAGGGTTTACAGAGAATGGTCTGGGAAAGCGAAAATATCCAGTGAGCAACAGGTGTGTGGATGAAAATGCCTTGTTGATGTCAGAGGTCAGAGGAGAATGGGCAGACTGGTTCGAGATGATAGAAAGGGAACAGTAACTCAAATAACCACTTGTTACAACCAAGGTATTCAGAATACCATCTCTGAATGCACAACACATTGAACCTTGAAGCAGATGGGCTACAGCAGCAGAAGACCACACCGGGTGCCACTCTGGTCAGCTAAGAACAGGAGGCAGAAGCTACAATTCGCACAGGCTCAACAAAATTGGATAATAGAAGTTTGGAAAAACGTTGCCTGGTCTGATGAGTCTTGATTTCCCTAGAGATGGTTGTGTGTGAAAAATCTCAGTAGATCAGCAGTTTTTGAAATACTCAGACCAGCCTGTATGGCACTAACAACTATGCCATGTTTAAAGTCACTTAAATCCCCTATATATAATTAATATTATAAATACCTTTTTTCTTTTGTTTAGAAGTGATTGCATAATTTCTGTTCTCAGATACATAAGGGGCTTTTAGAGGTAGGGGTGGGGAAAAAGCAGTACATTGGTCTTCCCAGTGAATGGCTATTCATAGTGGGTATGCCAGCACATGTCTTGGCCATTGGAGGACAGATAGACTGTTCTCCTAGCACAGCTAGAAAACTGACCAGATGTGCTGCCTAGCGTGGTCAGTTTGAATTAGGAAAGCAGAGGGTCTGGCAGGATCACCAGGTATTTCACACAAAGGAAGCAATACAAAGAGAACAGGATACTTTTTAAAGTGTTACTAAACCCACAACAGTAAAATCAGTTTGTGTATGCATTAAAACATGCTTGTTATACTCACTGTAGAACAGAAGGGGTTAATCCTCTGCATTGTGTAAAAAGGCTTTTTGATCCTGACTTCTCTGATTCTCCCCTTTTTTTAGTCTACCCCTCTTATCTCCTGATAAACATATCGTGTTGTGTCACTCTGCACATGCTCAGTTTGGTGTGTGTTGCTAGAGATATTTTTTTTTCTTGGGAGAGTGCATGTGATAAGCACAGGGCCAATCAGCACTGTTCAGACAGAAGTCAGGGGTTCTGCATCCTCCTAGAGCAAAATGAAAACTCCTCCTACAAGCTTTAACATGTGCTCGGCTGGACACTTATAGAAGTTACACGAGTGCTCTAACTGCTGATGAGAAAAAAGGTATTTAGCAAGTTATATTTACTAAAATAATGTTGCGTGTACTGTGGCAGACCAGATATAGTGGATGCAGGGTCCTGGGTTTAGTAACACTTTAATACAACATGGTATAACAGACACATATCAGGAATATAAAATGTTGGGGTAACCTACATGGGGCTAACAAAAAATGTGCATTTCTGTCCACCCATTCCTGAGATTTACAGCCACACTACACAACAAAGCCACGATGATGACCTGACTACTCTAATGGAGTTAAGCAATACAATCAGGTCAACTCCTTGCTTCCAGTCTGTAATTGGACAGTGCAGCAGCAGCATACTAATGAGCCCATCACTCTGCTCTCTCCTCCCTTCAGCCTGTTCCTTGTCAGTACACCTAGTACCCCTCTTCCTCTGGAACAAAGTGCAATAAAACCTAGAACAATATTTTGCATGGTTACCATTTACCGGTAGTTGCACTGGGATGCAATTGTTATCACTCTGTATCCATATTTGTTGATTTTATATATGTGTTACATTCAGAGATCTTTCAGTAATGCCATTATGCAATATCTGATTTTAGCAGGTTTTAACAGAAACATTACTAATTCCTAACAAATAATTACAATAAAAAATAATGCATATAATTACTAGTCATTTTCAGCTCAAATGTATATTCCCCACCTTAAATAAATGATTGCATCAGTTCTTGAGTGACTTGGATCTCCTTAATTTAACATTTGTTTTTTTTGGATCCTAATCAGACGCCTAAGACTGTTTTAATTCCTCCAAAGCTTCAGACACTTGAGCAAAGATGTTGGAATGCAGAGTGTGATGAAGGGGAAAATATTACAGAGAAAACTTGCATAACTGTGTGACATAGGCCCATGTCTTTTTTTACAGGCTAAGCGTCCCCAATGACGTACCGTAGGATGAACACATTGGTTAGATCTTTGCATGCTGACGTCACACAATGCTGAAAGTGTTTATTATTGTTTTTATTTTAAAAAGAGGATTTTAACTACTTTAATACCAGACACCTTCACCCCCTTCCTGCCCAGGCCAATTCCCAGCTTTCTGCGCTGTCACACTTTGTATGACAATTGTGCTGCCACATAACACTGTACCCATATGAAGTTTTTATCCTTTTTATTTACACAATTAGAGCTTTCTTTTGGTATTTAATCACCACTGGTTTTTTGTTTGCTAAATAAGCTAAAAAAAAGACCGAAGATTTTTTAAACAAATGCATTTTTCTTCATTTCTGTTTAAAGTTTTGCAAATAAATAATCTTTCTTCATAAATTTACACCAAAATGTACTCTGCTACATTTCTTTGGTGAAAATAACCCAAGTGTATATTATTTAGCCTGTAGGAAAGTTACTTAGTCCACAAATGGTATATACAGTATATTTGAAAATAGATCACTCCTGATGTACTGACAGCCGATCTAATTTCTTGAGGCCCAAAAATGCTAGGACAGTACAAATATTCCCCAAATGACTCCTTTTTGGAAAGTAGACAGTCCAAGGTATTTAGTAAGAGGCATGGCGAGTATTTTGAAGTTGTAATTTTTTGTGATGTTTTTTGGAAAATTAAGAAATTTTTTTAAATTGTTTTTCTTCACAATATTTTTTAAAATGCTGTCACCAATGCAGTACAGCGTCGTCATATAACTGGTGTGGCAGTGATCAGGGACACTGACGGGTGACAGTATGTAAAAGAAAAAATAAAATGGGAAAAAAATGTAATAATTGTTTTTTCAATTTGTAAAATATTTTTTTCTTTTTTATTATTATTTTTTCTTTTTTTACTATTTTTTTTTTACATACTGTAACCACAGCAATACTACTCTGGGGAGGTGATTAGGATTTTCTTTTACATACTAAGATAGGTTATAACAGTGAATTTCACTGTTATAAGCAACCATTTTTTTCTGAATGAAATCTATTCATTTGCTGGACACCGCAGGTGACAGATTGTACTGCAGATCCAGATCCAAGATCTGTGATGTCTTGGATTTCGATGAGTGTACATCCTTATTATATAGACAGATCGTGCTGCAGATCCAGATCTGTGATGTCTTGGATTTCAATGAATGTACATCCTGATTATATTGTAGGTTTTGGTCACAACTGGATTGCATATATCACATGCGCACTTTAAAGTGTTACTAAACCCAGGACCCTGCATTCACTATATCTGATCTCACACAGTACACAGAACATGGAAGTGCAATTATGTTAGTAAATATAAACTGCTAAATACCTTTTCTCATCAGCAGTTAGAACAGTCTTGTTAAAGCTTGTAGAAGGAGTTTTTTTTTCTGCTCTAGGAGGATGCAAAACCCCTGACCTCTGTCTGGACAGTGCTGATTGGCCCTGTGCTGATCACATGCACTCTCCCAAGAAAAAAAAAACCTCTCTAGCAATGCACACTAGACTGTGCATGCGGCTACAGGTTCAGTCTATTTTATCAGGAGATACGATGTGGACATTTGAACAAGAGTAGGAGCAAAGAAATCAGGATCAAACAGCCTTTTTACACAATGCAGAGCATTAACCCCTTAGGTTCCACAGTGAGTATAACAAGCATGCTTTACTGCATATACAGACTGATTTTACTGTTGTGGGTTTAGTAACACTTTAACCTCCTTTTTTATTTAAGGGCATTACATCTGGTGAGTGATGACATTGAAAATATGCAATAGAAGGACAATCTTTGATGTTCAGAATTGTGCAGAAGAGTTCTCACTCCTATTGCTAAAACCTTGTTATATATAAACTTTAAGTGTAACTAAACAAAAACAAAAACCTAATTGCCGCTTACCAATCAATAAATGTGATAGCTGCATTAGTTTATTTAAGGCTTTTTTCCATTCCTTTATTTTCACCTGGTGACCCAGCCAGTAACACACTGGATCAATGGGGCCACCCTTGGAGAGCAGCATTGTAAACCTGTGGAGAAGGTAGCATTGGAAATGCTATCAAATTTAGGTGGGCTTGACTAACAAATTAAAGCCAAAAACTGTAAGTAGTTACAGCAACTGTTTGTTTTCCTTTTGTGATAAAGCACCCCTGTCAGTGTGAAATGGTTTGTCTTAACATTTCTTGGACAGCTTGGTGTGGACAATTTGATTAGTGGAAGAGGAAAACCAACAGAATTGCTGGATTGATCACCAGGTGAAAATAAACCCAAAAACCTAATATAGAAAATGAATGCAGCCTCCACATAAAACAATCGGTAATTTGCAAAATTCAAATTTTTTTGTTTTTGCATTTAGATACGCTTTATAGAGAAGTTTCAGATAACTAGTTCATCCAATCAGGAAGTCTCTAATGCTGACCAGGAAACAGAGCTGCTGTGTAGAAAATAGAAAGTTTATTTGATTTACCTAAATCTGGGTTCTGAGTAATCCCCTGAAGCCAGAAATAACACATCTCCCCATACTGTGAAGTGGCGGTGTATTTCCTACTTTCTGACTTGTTTAGCTTCCTGTGTCCCTGTTTGATGTATTACCAATAAGATACCAAAGCAGGCCTAATTAGAGACTGTATGAAACCTCTTGTGACGTCTATCAGTGTCCAGCTGAGCACTGGTTATAGCTTGTAGGAGGGGTTTTCATTCTCCTGACTGTCCTATGAGGCTACAAGACCCTTGACCCTTTGTCTGGACAGTACTGATTGGCCCTGTGCTGATCACATGCACTCTCCCAAAGAAAAAAAAATCTCTAGCAATACACCCCTGCAGGAAAAAATTGGATCATGCTTCTCTGGGCTTTCTTTCCTTCCTCTGGATCAACTAAGGGTATAGGATTATAACTTTTTTTTTTTCAATGGTTGAACTGAATGGACTTTTTTCAGCCAGACTAACTATGTAACTAGGTAACACACTACACTGGGCATGGGTAGAGTGACTCCTAGAGCTCTGTAATATCAGCAAATGGATTGGGGACAGTAGAAGAAGGGGAGGATCAGAGAAGACAGAATCAAACAGCCATTTTACACAACGTGGAGGACTAACCCCTTTCGTTCCACGGTGAGTATGACAAACATGTTTTACTGCATATACAGACTGATTTTACTGTTGTGGGTTTAGTAACACTTTAACTAAAAATGCTACTAAAATACCACGTGAGCTATTTTATGAAGTGATGTAGTATTGTAGTAGTGAAAGCTAGCAGTACTTTAATGCCAGTTATAGCCAGTGTTCTTAACAACCAGTAAACAACATGGTTGTTAAGGAGCGGGCTGTTGCAGCGTCTCTAACAACCATCACTTATCTGCTGTCATAGGACCCTTCAGACCTGGTATGGATTTTGAGGGGAACCCCATGCCAAAATTTTTAAAAAATGGCGTGGGGCCACCCCCAAAAATCCATATTAGACCCTTATCTGAGCATGCAGCCCGACAGGTCAGAAAAGATGGGGAAGGAATGAGCAAACAGCCTCTTCCCCACAACTCTGGGCGGTGGTTGTGCATTGCCATGTGCTATTTCATCATGGACAGCAAGTTAGAACAAAGAGCAAATGTGTTATTCTGTGTGAAACTGGGCAAATCTTCTACAGAGATGTTTGACATAATTCGATAAGTTTACGGCAATGCGGCAATGAGTTGTTTAAGGTATTTTGAGTGGCACGCATACTTCAAGAGCAGAAGAACATCACTGGAAGATGACAGGAGATCAGAAAGACCTTCAAAAAGCTCAACCCCTGAAAATGCCCTCTTCCCGAAGATAAAGATCCAGCTCAAAGGTCGCCATTTTGACAACATTACGGAGATCTAGCAATTTGCTCAGTTTCGCATAGAATTTCACGTTTGCTCTTTGTTCTAACTTGCTGTCCATGATGAAACAGCAGACGTGGTAATGCACAAGCACCACCCAGAGTTGTGGGGAAAAGGCTACTCGCTCGTCCCCCCGTCCCCCCCTTGAAACTGGGAAAATTGCTGGATCTCTGCAATCTTGTCAAAATGGTGACCTTTGAGCTGGAAGAGGGCATTTTTGGTGGGTGAGCTTGTTGAAGGTCTTCCTGACCTCTCGTCATCTTCCAGTGATGTTCTGCTGCTCTTGAAGCACACGTGCCACTTAAAATACCTCAAATGACTCATTGCAGCATCACCGTGAACTTGCCGAATTATGTCTAACATCTCTGCAGCAGATTTTCCTGGTTTTACACACAATTTCACTTTTGCTCTTTGTTCTAACTAGCTGTCGATGATGAAATAGCAGATGTGGTAACACATGTGGTCAGAATAGCACCAGTTGCACAGCTGCTGATGTACACAGTACGATGTCTTTTGGAACACTGACTTATGCAGGTCGGTGCTCCCTGTGACTGTGCATGCACCTTGTGCATCTGTTGACGTGTTACAAAACCTTTTGAACCACCGCATATTAAGTTTGATTTGTAAGGCTTATCTTATCAAGCATATCTGAACCCAAAAACAAAATACAGTATTTTGCAGATCACCAGTCTCTAGAAGTGGTGCATTTGTCTTTCAGGAGTCTTTTTTTCTTTGTTTTCACCTAGTTATTCTACCAGTAACACACTTCCAGTCTCAGGGTGACAATGCTCACTTGCCATACTGTATCAGGACAACAGAAACAGAATAAAAATACAGGACTCCGACTCTCTTCTCCAAAACATAGATGGGAGGAGTTCTGTAGTCCTTAGAGATAGCTGACAACAATGTAATGGCAGTTAGCACAAAAACAAAGCACAGAAAGTTATCAGGTCACAAGATGACAAGGTCAAATGTTTTTGTTTGCTCTTTTCAAACAGATATACCAAAATGCTTTCAATATTATATTGGATATACCAAAAGGAACCGGATGAGAGACATTCATGGTTTGGGTTTACATATCCTTTAATTCTTTAATTTGACTGCAGTGTGGCTTTGACCAGATTACCAGGCTCAAATGAATGCTTCGAAATCATAGCAGGCAAAATATATATCTCTTGTCTAGCACAGAAATATTGAGTGGCATAGAGACTACATTGTTAAAAAACAATCTAGTTGAAGCTGTGGGTCATCTGTTGGAAACCCACTAGAGACATTATTTGCTTGGAGTTTGTCTACTCTTTGTGTGAGTTTCCTCTAGGGTTTCTATTTTATGTCTTCTCTCTCACACTGGAGGCAATGTTTCTACATCCCCTTGATATCTGCGATAACTACATGAAACCTTTCAGAAATTCCACGTCATATACTTGCCTTATTCTGCACTTCTTCGCAGCTGGTGCTCTCCTCCACTGTCCAACAGTGCTGGTCCTGAATTGTGTGGGACAATATCAGAGAGCTACAACTGGTCAGGTCACCGCAAATGGAACAAGGAGGAATAAGGAAGGTTTATCAATGTATTTATCATCCCATGGTAAAATGTGCAGTTACCTTCAGGCTAGGAAGGGGGACCAATTGCAAGGGTAAATCTTTTTTTCCTCAGACTTAAACCATCTGACAATTTTATATCTCTTGAGAACTCTTTTGGTGAGATTCCTGTGCATGGGTTCCTGAGTCTGTCCAGCTCTCTCTACGGGTATATAATTTTCTGAAAAAAGAGATACTAGAACAGCAAGGGGTAAGGTGGTCTCTCTTTTGGAGTATCCAGCACATATAGAAAATCAGGAGCTGCGCCACAGTATATGAAGCCACCAAACTGATGCCTACACTATAAAACAGTTGCTATCTCATTGATATGTATATCAACTAACGATGTTTGTTTGAAAAAGGACAGCACTATTGAAAATACAAAGTTAATGTGCTGTATGAAAACAGTCTTAATGGTGCAATATTCTTATGGGCGAGATAGCCAGTGCTACTCCCGATGTACTCCAACAATAAGTGTTTAAATACCAAAGTGCTATGGTGCTAAATGTGCAAAAATAAAAATATAACAATAAAAAACATATACTAAAAAAAGTGCTATATGCAATGGGCAAATGCTGAATGCAGAATATGCAAACAATTATTATGCAAAAATGTTAATATATTAATAATATAGCACTATTTCATTCCATGTGCAATGTGCATCCAAAATTAGTAAACTATAAAATATAAAGTTCATACAAGTAAAGAGTTCATGTAACAAAGTTCCATGTAAAACACAGATTCCTATGTGCAATAAACTCTCCACCACCGTAATAAACTCTTCACTACCTCCACCATGCAGTGCTCTCTACTACCGTAATAAACTCTCCACCACCTCCACTGCTCTTCCCCACCATAATAAACACTCCACCACCTCCACCGTGCAGTGCTCTCCATCACCGTCATAAGCTCTCCACCATCACCACCGTGCAGTGCTCTCCACCACCATAATAAACTCTCCACCACCTCCATCGTGCAGTGCTCTCTACCACCATAATAAACTCTCCACCACCTCCATCGTGCAGTGCTCTCTACCACCATAATAAACTCTCCACCACCTCCACCGTGCGGTGCTCTTCACCACCATAATAAACACTCCACCATCTCCACCGTGCAGTGCTCTCTACCACCATAATAAACTCTTCACCACCTCCCGCGTGCAGTGCTTTCTACCACTGTAATAAACTCTCCACCACCTCCACCGTGCAGTGCTCTCCACCACCGTAATAAACACTCCACC